TCTAGCACCCAATCTGTGTCTACGCTGCACTCCTCCACGGGCCTTAGTAATGTCTAGAAGTCTACTGTGTTAGACATATGCAATATATTCCTTTGGCTTTCTTGGCTATCGCTGCCTTCCGTCGCTTCCCTTGCAGTCGGTCACTGACCCGAGATAACCTCACGCCGAGCTCTGTCCTTATCCAGCATCCTAACCCAGCCACACCTCTCTTCTTATCCTGCATCCTGCTGTGTATCCGACCCTCTCGTAATCCCATTTGTAACCCATATATCACACGTAGTTCTAGGTATACCAAATTAAACGCGTGCATGGGTTTTCTTTTTTATTTATTTACTGTACAGCCCTTGAGCCTTAATCGGGCTACTCCGCGGCGGACCCCACCCCCTACGCGCGCACAAGCACATGCTCCGCGAGTGACTCATGCTGGCCCGTCGCATCGATTCCGAAACGTTTACCTACGTACCTGCGGCGTGCGTGTGGGAGAGAGAAAAGGGAGGAAGAGAGGTGTAGGGCCTCCATGAAGATGTATAAGGATATAAGTAAGAGAGAGATTGACAAGCAGACACACACAAACAATCATACTAATATACACAGACAGATAGGGAGTGAGTGAGTGGGTGGGTGAGGAGGGCAGGGAAGGGATAAGCGAAAGGGAGAGAGAGAAAGAGAGAGGAGGGAAACTAGAACGAGAGCAACGTACGGTGCGGGGGAGACGAGAAAAAGAGACAGGATGAATGATTCAGAGCGACGCAAAGGAGTAAATCGTCAGTGGGTTAGGGCCTAGTAACCCCCCCCCCCCAAAAAAAAAAAATGTCAAGAAACATAGTAATTATCTTTAGAAATTATTTTAAAAATACATACTCTAAAAAAAGGAGGAAAAATATCATACCAGCTCACCATAGCGAAGAGATAGGGATCGAGACGGACGGCAGACAGATAGGCAAGCAGAGAAATAGGAGTGACTCATAGCGACGAAGGTCCTGTAGGATGCGCCCGAGGAGGAGGGGCAACCGGCGAGCCAGGTTTTCGTTCTTATAGCCTACCTCTTTTTAGTATTTTGTTTTCGTATTTATCAGGGAGAACATGAATAATTTTGGGATCTAGGGTGGTTCCTTCCCGGCCAGCCCTTTATCCCCTGATAAGATGGGTAGAAGGTGGAGCGAAGTGGTGTGACATTTTTGTTTCACTGTGTTTCGTCTTTTGGCAGGTCCACGCTCTTGTCTTTGCTCCCCTTCTCTCTCTCTCTCTCTCTCTCTCTCTCTCTCTCTCTCTCTCTCTCTCTCTCTCTCTCTCTCTCTCTCTCTCTCTCTCTCTCTCTCTCTCTCTCTCTCTTTCTCTTTCTCTCTTTCTCTCTCTCTCTCTCTCTCTCTCTCTCGCTTTTGCTCTCGCACGCGCGCGCGCGCGCACACACACACACACACACACACACACACACACACACACACACACACACACACACACACACACACACACACACACACACACACACACACATACACACACACACACACACACACACACACACACACACACACACACACACACACACACACACACACACACACACACACACACACACACTCGCGCGCGCTTCTAAATATAAATTTTACATATAGATAAATAGGTCTAGGTAGATAGAGAGTTTTATATAGAAATAGCTATACAATATTTTATGTATGCATATAGGCTACATACAGATATCAAAATACACAAAAAACACGCTCTCCTTACCTGTGCCAATCTCTCGTAACACACGCAACACCACAAAGACAACCCGGAACAGCTACCCCGACCACATAGTCTTTCCCGAGGGACAGCAACGTCGCAGGTCACGGGTCATTACAGAGCTTCCCCCCCCCCCTATCCCTCCCTCTTCCCCTAAAACACCCACATCTCTGTATTTCGCCTCTTACGCCTTCTCCAGTCCGTCCCTCTTATATCCACTATATCCACCCAATCCACTACTGTCTATCTTTATATATATATCTATCTATCTGTCTTTATCTCCCTCTCTCTGTCTATCTATCTGTCTACCTATCTATATATTTATCTATCTATCTATCTTTATCTCTATCTGTCTCTTTCTCTCTCTCTCTCTCTCCCTTTCTCTATCCCTTCTCCCATACTAACCTCTCTCTCTCGAATACCCTCTCCAACCTATCTTTATTTACGTCTTTATCGTTATCTCCCCATCTCCCATACCCTCTCCTTTTACGCCCTCTCCACCCCTTCCTCCTTGCTTCCTCACCGTTCTACCTCCCTCACTCTCACGCCCTCACCTGTACCCACCCCCTTACACTGTCTTTAACCCTTTTCCACTCCAGTACCCCCTTTCCCTTGCCCCCTCCCCCCTTTTTTCTCGCCTTCCTAATTAACCTGGTGTTCCTCCCAACTACTTCGGCGTTAGGCCCCCGCACGATCACCGGAGAGACATGTCACGCTAGAGAGGGAAAGTGGGTCCTCGGGTTCCCTTCCTGGTAAGCACGCTTGGTGGGATTATCCTCTGGCACTCCAGTTGTAGGTCGGATAGTGCCAGAAACTGGTGATTGGGTGAAGAGGATGATGATGATGATAAGGGGGCGAAGATGTGGGAGAATTCTGTTGTAAATGAAAAGGGTAATTAGATGGCAATGAAGAAGGAAAACGGAAAAAAACGGGTGGGAAAGAGAAAATACCAAGAGGTGGTGATAGTGAAGTCGGAGAAAAATGAAAAGGAAAGAGAGAGAAAGAGTCAGTGGACATGTATTTGTGTTTTTATTAATGTGTATGTTCACTATATGAATAAAGCAAATATAGACATATGTTCCCCATCTTTGAAAGACAAAAGTTTCGGTTAATGCCGCATATATTTAATCGATCCCGCCCCCCGTGCTGGGTACTCCCTGGCCGAAAGTCCGCGTTTGGATCGTTACATAATTGCAGTAATAAGCGAAAGGGTAATTTATATGGCACCAATGAAACCATCATCGAAGGAGACATCATTGTTTTCTTTGTGTTTTATGTTGCATATATATTGCCTTCGTAATGGCCGTACTATCGATTACGCGGACGATATATGAATAATTTTCAGCGCATCCTAATTCTGTTTGGGGATTGGTGTTGCACGGACAGATGCGGCGTGGATGTGTGCGGATTCGCGGGATTATGGATTTGCTGATCCCTTTTCATTTTATATTTTTGACGGGCATTTGTGCGTTTTTATAGGGTATACATTTTTGGGATTTCATTTTTTTATTTCGACTCCCATTATCCATATGTTGTTGAATGAAAGATTGAATGCAGAATGAAAGGAAAGAGGGATCAAAGGAAGGAAGAAAGGAAGAAGTATGGCGTGACTCAGACCGTATGACATGACGTGATATGCCAGGATATCGTGGAAAGGTGAAGTATTGAAGAGGGGAAGGAAGAGAGGGGAATCGAAGGTTGGGGAATGGAGGTTGTTGAGGTAATAGCATGCACGACACGGGGGCTGACCGCCGGGGAAAGGGTTCAGGCCATTGCGCTGGCATGTAAAACAAGCGTGACTAGGCTTACGTCACGCCCCTCTTTTACTTTGGCGTCGGGGGAGAGGAGTTCCGTATGGATGCCAACATTATCGTGTTGGTGGATATCATGTATATATATATAGCCTATATATAGAGAGGGAGAGATATAGATATAGATATACAGTACACATTAATGCACATGTATACAAACGCAAAGAACATTCACTACTTCACTAGATAATCGTATACGAAACGCCGTGATTTCCAGTGAACCATGCCTCGCATTTTGCAAGTGACATATTAAGTAGGTTGAGAAAGGTTCCATTTGTTAATTTATTTTTCGTAGCCTACGCGACCCCTTTTGACGTTTGTCATTGTCTAACCTCTGATGTTGCGATAGTCATTACCCATTATCGCTCTTACGTAATGAGTGCACTCAAGTATGAAAATGTAAATTTCTTATTTTTCTTCAGCTATTTTTCTTACATTCTGCTGTTAGAATCGCAAGTTCTCGTCACACTCAGCAGGACGTACATGTCCCCCTCTTCTCCTCCGTCCCCTTGCCGTTATTGCATTGCCTTGGTCTTGACAGGTGACGTGTAAAGAACGAGGGGTAAGGGACGAAGGGAAAGGGAGGTAATTAAATGAGTGAAGAAGCAAGAGATATGGGGATAAGGGAAGGAGGAGGAAAGGGGAAAAGGAGCAAGTATTAGGAGGTGTGAACGGTGGAGGGACGGCACAAGTAATAAACCGGCTTGGACACGGCGAGGAAATTGACCCGCGACTTACTCCGGGAAGGGTCATGGGGTCAGGTCATTAGTGTCGCCATGGCGTTGTTTACAGACTTGTGGCGATTGTCCCGAGCACTCACCTGCGCTCGCTGCTTTTTTCGTGGTTGGGTTTAACGTGCGTGACCGTGTGTTGCTTTTTTTGAACTGTCCGTGGGAACAGATTTCGTCTGTTTGTCGGCGTTGAAGTAGATCGTCTTTTTTATGCACACACACTCTATTGAATAAGTTTGTTCATTCTATTTTTTTTTCTTTTACGTGAGAAGCTTGCGTAATATAAATAGTTGAAAAGAAATTGCCTCAACGAAAATTAATATTTAGATAATATTGATTCATTAATACCTTGGCCAAGGGGAACTGTTCAAGTATATCTCAATAGGTAGATCGAAAATCCTGCCTGACCTTCACAAAGATTTTAACATAAGCAATGCTTTTTTAAAATCCTCCTGGGAAAATTCAGACCTTGAAAGTTTTATGGCCAGGGTAATGAAAGTTAATGTTTCTCCTCAAAAATACACTCGCAGATGAGAACCACCTCTTCGGTTTTTCCCTTTCCCATTTTTCTCATTCATGTAATTGCATTTAATGTGGTGATCTTAGCATTCTTTTATCTCCTGCGATAATTATCATCATCATTAGAATTTTTTATTGTTCCCATATAATTTGGTTTTCGCAATTAAAATGAGGCTGTGATTCACAATGTACTAATAATGGTGTTGGTTTTCAGGTGACCTTGAATGGGCTGGAGGTGATGACCTTCCTGGTGGACCGCATGAAGGAGGACTTTCGGCCGTATCTCTCCTCAGTTGTCCCGTCAGTGGCGGACAGATTAGGTAGGTTGGCTATTGCTGTTATGGTTGATGATGTTATTATTGTTATTGTTAGTTATTATTTATTATTGTGTTTTTATTGTTGTTGTTATTGTTGTTATTATTATTATTATTATTATTGTTATTGTTATTGTTTTTATTGTTGTTGTTATTATTATTACTATTATTATAATATATTTTTTTTATTATATTTATAATGATGATGATAATAATAATTATTATTATCATTATTATTGCTGTTATTATTATTATTATTATTAGTAGTAGTAGTAGTAGTAGTAGTAGTAGCAGTAGTAGTAGTAGCAGTAATAGTATTATTATTATTATTATTATTATTATCATTATCATTATCATTATCATTATCATTATCATTATCATTATCATTGTCATTGTCATTGTCATTGTCATTGTCATTGTCATTGTCATTATCATTATCATTATCATTATCATTATCATTATCATTATCATTGTTAATGTTATTGTTATTATTGTTTTTATTTTTTGTTATTGTTATTGTTGTTTTTTATTATTTTATTGCTATTGTTATTGTTGTTTTTTATTATTTTATTGCTATTGTTATTGTTGTTTTTTATTATTTTTATTGCTATTGTTATTGTTTTTTTATTCATGTTCATATTATTGTTTGCTCAAAGATTATTTTTTCTTGTGTTTTTCATTTTCTCTACATTAGGTATATAATATAGAATTCTTGCCATATTTATGATTATGTTTTGAGATTAATAAGTTCTGCATTTCTAAATCTGTGTGATAAGTACTGTAGATGTTTCAAGCTCAACTGTTATTTTTTAGAACATATATTTTCAATAGGAAAAAACTACTTTTCTTTCTGGAATTTAATTGTAAAAATCATAAGTCCTCCTTAAAGTATTGTTGAGAGTTCACTTCCCTTTTAATATTTGGTAATTTACTTTTCTGTATGTTTTGATAGTCCTTTAATGTGCACTAATGGTGTTTGTTAATAGATAATAACTGGTGATGCTGGAGCTACATGTATATATACTCTGTCCAGCAATATGGATTTTCCTAATTAATTTCGTTTACATGTAAATGGCTTCAGAAGCAGTTTGCCCAGTTGCTAAGGAGTCATTTATTAGGTCCGTCTGACCTCACTTATTTGTCAATTCCTTGAGGTTTTGGAAGGATTAAAAAAAAAATTATTGATATGATTATTGCTGACTAAGTACAAATGATTATAATGTTGATAATAATAATAATTTTACTAGAAGTCTTTTTTTCCTTTAAACTCAAGGAATGAGTTTAACTGGTCAGATCAGGTAGGCCTAGTAACTGAATCCTTGGCCCTATGCACTTGTGAAGCCATCTAGGCCCCCTGTAAACAAAATTAGTAAAAAAAATACTATAGAGGACAATGCATGTATCCAGTGTCAGTAGGTTAACTCACTTTCTTGTTTAATAATGTTTATGTTGATGTTCAGCACTCACTGATTTCCTGTGTATATATTTGTGTACTTTTACTAAATAACATTAGATATTTATAAAAGCAATTAGTTATTCTCATGGAAAAATTGTGACTGATTAGCTTAAATACCTTTCTCCGCACAAACTAAAAATGCAAGCTATACTTGTTACATCAGTAATCTGTAAATTATAATTTGGTTCAACAAACTTCTGCAAAATATGAAATGGTTGTTTTGCTTGGGATGTCTCAGCAGAGTGATTTAATACACAATTGGTAGGAGAAAAGTCCATACTGTAAAAGCAGTTTATTAGAACTGAGATGACAGGATTGCACGCAGCTGTGGTTACGTTACATCTGTTGCTGTTAGCATTTTCCAGTTTTGTAGTGTTTTTACTTTCATTTATTTCTTCCTCTTGTCCTTTATCCTTTTAATGCACAATGTTACACATCTCTAAATTTTTCCCAACCGTTCCAGGTGACAGTAAAGATGCAGTCCGAGAAAAAGCACAGACGCTACTCTCCAGTATGATGGACAATGTGGTCACCCCAAATAATATGTTTGAAAGGCTTATCCCAGCCTTCTCCCACAAAAATGGCAAAGTCCGAGAAGAGGTCATGACATGCCTTCAGAATACATTAACCAAGTGAGTTTGCAGTTAAGCTTTATACGAGGCCAAAGACTTATTTAGGCGGAAATGATCTTGTCATAGCTAATATTATATCTTAAAAAGTAGTATTTTATTGATCAGTTTATATTTTTAAATTTGCAAGGTATTTGGATGATTACATAAATATGCTAGCAAAATAGTTTAGTTAGGTGTAAACTGTTCTTGTATTCATCAAGTACTGTTATATACTTTTTGATTATGCTGTACATTTGAACCCTTAGAGAATGATGTGGAACTTCAGTTTTAAAAATTCATAATGTACTTGAGTGCTCATCTAGTATTGAGTAGTTAGTCTCTCTGGTGCTGCAAGTGATTAGGACCCAAACCATTCCTAGCACATGGGAGTGAAGTGTCAATTTATAGAATCTGTAGGTCAAGTCTATCCCTTATTCAGTGTAGGCTTACCTCATAATTATTATTATTATATTATAGGGACATTTTGTATATGTATTTATATCAACTATGGACTTCATTTTCCATTGTTCACTAACTGATGACTTTTTTATTTTCAGTCATGGAGCTTCAGCAGTAACAGTCTCACGGCTCATCCCACACGTAGTAAAACTACTGTCTGACCCAACAGCTCCAGTGAGAGATTGCGCCTTCAACACCTTGGTTGAGTGCTACAAACATTACGGTGAAAGATTGAGAATGGATTTGACAAAGAAACACAATATTCCTTCTGGAAAGTGAGTGGTATTTTGATGTTTTTTTTATGAGTGTTTCCTGAGTGATCTATAAAGGTGTTTTCTTGTGATCAGATTTGATGTATTGTAGAAAGTGTTTAATTATTATTAAGTTTGGTGTATTGTTATGGGAATTAACCCATTTTGTGGGATTCTCCTTGTATTTATTTATTGTGACTTTTGTCAGTGTTATGATAATCTTTGTCACGCCATGAGGTAGAAAACGAGCATAACATTTATTAATGCCATGTTTTTAATTCGGAATACCAGTAATTTCAAAAGGATTTTTTTTTCCAATCAGAAATTTGCTATATATACAAGACCAGTAATAGGGGATATTTTTTTTTGAGAATTTTAAATGTAAATTCACAGGTAGTGGTATTGTGTTTTTCATCCTCCACATGTGTTTATTGATTAATGTACTTATACAAAAAAAAAAAAAAAAAATGCATTTAAGTAATGCATTCCTTTTGAGAGTAATTCCCCAGACACTGAATTATTGTGATTAATGAATATACATGCATGAATTCATATTCTAATTTGAACTTTGGAAAATACAGTAATAAGTGAAAAAGGATTTCCATGTTGCATTTTTTTATATAGCTTTTTTTATATTAATTAAGCAATGGAAAGAGTTTTTCAAAAGCTATTTTAAGAATATGATTAATGAAAAATGTAAAAATAAGATATTTTGAGATTACCTGCCACCTGCCATTAAGATCAAAATAGCTGAATAAACCTTTCATTTAAAGTTAGATAATGCTATCCATACCTGTTTTGTTAATGACAATCAAGATATAAACCTTTTTTTTTCCTGAACTACATAAATATTGTCCTGCCGTAATGAAAGGAAACATGAATTAAAGGAGTCTTTCAGAATCCATCTGTTGAATGTATACAACTTCTTGCAGACCTGAGTTATATAGGAAGAGAGAGATGAAAGGATTTCACTTAAAAAGAAAGCAAGGAAAGTTAATGCCCTAAGTAATCAGAATGTTTGGGGGAGTGAAGAGTTCTCTTGCAGATTGCAAATGAAAAAGGAACATCTGGAAATTTAATGGATTGTTGAGAGTGGTGCAACATTTGAGAGAGAGGTGCCTTTATAAGTCATAAATCTTTGTTTAAGGAAATTGCTCTGTGGTAATTTAGAAATGATGGAGGAGAAAAAAGTGAGTAGAAGAAAATGGAAACTGTGAGGAAGAAAGAAAAAATGCAACGCAACAGAGTTTTGTCATTGAAAAATTAATTTGATTATTGTAGAATTAGTTCTTGAATTAAACTTTTAAGAGTTTAAATACCACAGATTGAGTTAGAATATGTAAAGTAATATGGAGTTAATTCCAGAACTGAGTTCTATTTGTATAATAATTGAAAGAAATAGTGTAATACCCCTAGGATACAAGTATGTCATCTAGATAAGAAAGAAAAGATAGCTAACCAGTTGAAAATTATTCCAGTAATACCGTGCCAAAAGTGTTACAGTTGTGTGAATGGATATCTAGTTTATGAATTTATTGAATGTTTATTATGAAATAGATTATTTAGAACAGTCATTTTATATAATGACTAATTATTGATCTGGAAAACAGGTTGTAGGATAGTTTTTGAGAAATATATATTTTTTTACAAATGAATTTGCAGCATTAGACAATCTTTTATATCTACTAAGTGTTAGGATGAATATCTTATAATTTTTACCAAGTTAGTGTAATTTGATTTGCTTATAAGGAAACCATAACAAGAATGTGCTCCTTAGTCTATTACTCAATTTAGACAGCATAATTGTAATGTCCCAGTCTTGAAAATGTATATATATATATATTTTTTTACAAATGAATTTGCAGCATTAGACAATCTTTTATATCTACCAAGTGTTAGGATGAATATCTTATAATTTTTACCAAGTTAGTGTAATTTGATTTGCTTTTTAAGGAAACCATCACAAGAATGTGCTCCTTAGTTCTTATTACTCAATTTAGACAGCATAATTGTAATGTCCCAGTCTTGAAAATGTATATATATATTTTTTTACAAATGAATTTGCAGCATTAGACAATCTTTTATATCTACTAAGTGTTAGGATGAATATATTATAATTTTTACCAAGTTAGTGTAATTTGATTTGCTTTATAAGGAAACCATAACAAGAATGTGCTCCTTAGTTCTTATTACTCAATTTAGACAGCATAATTGTAATGTCCCAGTCTTGAAAATGTATATATATATTTTTTTACAAATGAATTTGCAGCATTAGACAATCTTTTATATCTACCAAGTGTTAGGATGAATATCTTATAATTTTTACCAAGTTAGTGTAATTTGATTTGCTTTTTAAGGAAACCATCACAAGAATGTGCTCCTTAGTTCTTATTACTCAATTTAGACAGCATAATTGTAATGTCCCAGTCTTGAAAATGTATATATATATTTTTTTACAAATGAATTTGCAGCATTAGACAATCTTTTATATCTACTAAGTGTTAGGATGAATATATTATAATTTTTACCAAGTTAGTGTAATTTGATTTGCTTTTTAAGGAAACCATCACAAGAATGTGCTCCTTAGTTCTTATTACTCAATTTAGACAGCATAATTGTAATGTCCCAGTCTTGAAAATGTATATATATATTTTTTTACAAATGAATTTGCAGCATTAGACAATCTTTTATATCTACTAAGTGTTAGGATGAATATATTATAATTTTTACCAAGTTAGTGTAATTTGATTTGCTTTTTAAGGAAACCATCACAAGAATGTGCTCCTTAGTTCTTATTACTCAATTTAGACAGCATAATTGTAATGTCCCAGTCTTGAAAATGTATATATATATTTTTTTACAAATGAATTTGCAGCATTAGACAATCTTTTATATCTACTAAGTGTTAGGATGAATATATTATAATTTTTACCAAGTTAGTGTAATTTGATTTGCTTTTTAAGGAAACCATCACAAGAATGTGCTCCTTAGTTCTTATTACTCAATTTAGACAGCATAATTGTAATGTCCCAGTCTTGAAAATATATAATATATATATGACATTCGAAGAAAAAGGGTAAACTGGTGAGATAGGTTGAACTAGTGGGTTAGTTAACTTGTTTCTAGTAGAACTATCTTCAGTTCTTAGTTGTATAGTTTTGCTTAACAGTTTCTGTTGAAGGAGGATCTGTAGCATTCTCCTTATATTTAATTTTTATTATGATCTAAAATTTGAAACATTCATTAACCCATTGGATCCTGATGCTTCATTGCCATCTTGTGCCCCAAAGTATGGGCATTAGGCTTACATGAGTAGCCAATCTGATGAGTGTGTGGCTTGTATGTCGGCCGCACGTGAACACTCGTGTGCAGTAACAAGACTCCATGTCTCCCCTTTGCTGTGTTATTTTCTCTTTTTCTGCATAAGCATTTAGCTTTTTTTTGCCATTTTCCAGTGTCTATATTTGTCATTTGATTTACTTTATCCAGATGGTATTTGGCTGTTTTCCTTGCACAGACTCCATATCATCTCTCTAGGTAGTCTATAACACAGTGCGATAATAATGTCAAAAAGTAATGTTTTGTTATTTGTATCATTTTAGTTTTATTTATTTATTTTTTCCTTAATTTATTGTAATACAACCTGCGCTGCCAGTCATGGTGGGCAGGAAGAGGATGCTGAGCATGGAAATAGCATCCTCCCTGGAGCCGGCACTCTTCCAGTCATGGCCCAGGGACACTACATTCCACACTCATTTATCGATGGGAATAATGCAAAAGCTCTTTCCTAAACGCCAACTGAGCCTAATCACCCTCCAAGAGCTCTGTCCTCTTGTCACCCCGGCCTTAAGTCATAATGCTCATGATGGCAAGTCTGTGACACCCAACCCACAGCCAGATTTTCCCATGATGACATATTCACATCACATGAGGTATGCCAAATTTTGTCATTACATGGTGGGCACGTCACTTGTTTACCTATTGGCAAACAAAATTAAATTTTTACTTTGTGCTACTGAAAAAGTTTGTTCTAGTTTTCATTGTGTAATGAGCAATATAGGGAAGTATACTGGAAATATATTGCTGTACCTCTGTAGCTGTGATATAGGACTGTTTATTAGTTGTAGGAGCATATTTGATGTATGTTATACCCATTCAGTATCATGAATGTTATGAATGCACAATACATGGCTTTGTAATATTAGCAGTCTCTTTTATATACAAGAGTATTGTTGTTGATGTGTGGATGACTAAATCAACTCATACAGTAATTGTTTTAGTGTTTTAAAAGATTTTTTCACCACTTTAAAGGTAAACATCTATAATATTTGGTGGAATGAGGAGAGAGTAATATTAACATCAGTAAATCAGTGTATAATGCATAATGATGTCAGTGATTCACTAACTGGACTTTGTTTGCAATGTTTTACCTTCTCTGCTTCTTAAATATTTCTTTTTCAACAGTATTTTGTAATACTGTGATATACCAGCTGTATGAAACCATGAATTAGTCCATTATTTTGTGCTAGTGAATGGAAAATATATGATAATGATCATCCTCACTCTCTAACAGTAAAACTATATTGAAAGAGATTGTTCAGATGATATTCATTTTATATTAAATACTCTAAAATGAGAGTTGAAAGGATTGTTAATGCAAAAATCATCTCAGTTGTCCTAAAAAGTATGTCTGTGCTCTATTTAGGCTTGCTCAGATGACACAAGGCAGATTGTACCTAAATCCCACTGGATGCCAGAAAATGAATATTATGTGTTCAAGTCTCACAATGTGGAATATGATATGTGAATTCCAAAAATATTATCCTTTTTGTATAAATTGAATTGGAATTAATTTAAGTATTGCTTAGTAAGGTGTGACATCATGTCTGTGTCAGATCACAAGTCTGTGCATTGTTTGAGAGTTAAGTAGATGTAGAGGAATGGATAAGGAAATTCCTACATTTTTTTATTTGTGAGAAGCTGAAGATGGGTTTGTCTTTGTAGTTTATTTTTATTCAACCACTTGAGAAATCAACTTCCAGTTTTTGTTTAATTTATGTTGATTTGCTTCCCACATATGATGATTAGTAGGATTTATTTTTTCCCTTCTCATTTTCTATTCACTATTTAAGATTGTAATGACATGAAAATTTTTCCCCTCCAGATTACCAGCTTTAATGACACGCTTCGATGAAGTTCGGGATACAGGATTAATGATGCCATCTGCAACAACGACTGCTACACCAAATGAAGGTAAATACATTTTTACCTGTATTTCTGTTTTTATTTTCAGCTTTGTTTAAATTGACAAAATAAATGGTTTGCTATAGTCGGTGTCAGTTTACAATTGAAACTGAAAAGGTGTGATTTTGAAGTGTAAAAGGAGTGTCATAAGTTAGACAGTATTTTGTCATTTTTAGTGGTCCTGGAATTTAAAGAATGTTTAGGGGGTTCATATTGATAAGATAGGTAGTCCGCAATATAATTATGATGATGGATTTTTACTTTGCGTTTCTATTTCTTTTCTTTTTTTCTTTTTTTTCCTTTCTCTTCCTTTCCTTTTTGCTACTCTTTGTTTCTCTTTCTTTAATTTTATTTTATTTTCTCTTTTTATTTTTACAGTTCTTTCTATTTTTCTTTCTCTTTCTTTCTCTCCTCATCTCCTTTTCCTGTCTTTTCTTCAAAATGCAGAGTTGTCATTTGGAGTTTGATTTTTATGGTTGTTAATTAAATCAGTATTTATGATGTGGTATTCAAATAGTGGGGTGTCATATTTACTGTGTTCTCAGAATCTTAGCCTGATACATGGAGATTTCTTCATGAATATTGTATTTGTATTTGCTTCTTGAGCTGTTGAATCTTCAGTAAGTTCTAGTATAAGGTTATTTTCCTGTATCTCTGTGTGCTGTGTGGTGCAGCAGTAGCGATCTCATCTAGCAATCTTGCTGACCTGCGTTCAAATCCCTCGCCGCCAGTAGATGGTAACCCCGGCCATTCCTTGCATACAGGGGATAACTTAGAGGCAAAATAAAACAGACTCACTGTCACACCAAGAATATCCATTGTAACAAATGGAATCAAATTAAACCTCCTTGCTTATATTTTCAAAAACTTCTGAAGGGAAAGGTCATTGAAACAGATTGTGAAAAGTCATCACGAATTAGTAAATAGACAGGGATCTTATATTTATATTTTTAAACTGTTAATTGAGGGGTTGTGAGCCATGTGAAAATGCCATTTTATCGTGGTATCTCTGGAGCTCCTCATGGGTAGCAAATCCCTGTAGATGCTTAATGCTTTTATATGAAATGGCACAGTAGTCATACTTAATACAATGTAAGTGCTATGTAGATAATTATTGTATTATTATTCTTTGGAAATAACAAGAATTCATAATACACAGTGTCTTATTTTCAACATTTACAAATAATTTTTGTTTAATGTTCTAAGAAGTAAAAAACTGAATGAAATGCAGAATACTTGAAATGCATTTATATAGAGAGAACATGATTATGAATAACAGGAATAGAATTATACTTAAACAGCAAGTGCTGGAGATAGACTCGAGGTCTTTGAAATACAGATGCATTATAGACCTTCATTTGCAGTATGCCTTTAGTGTTTAGTGTATGGTAGATTAAGTTTGTCTTTAGGAACCTTTTGGATTTTCTTCTCCTTTCATTCTTTCTTATTCATTCTTCTTTCGTCTTCTTTCTTCATCTTTATTTTATGTTTTTGATCTGCAGTTCACTGATGCAGAACCTGTGGGTAGGGGGGGCTGACTGTTTCATATTTTTATGATGTTGGTAAAGCTTGATGATCTTGTAGATAATTTAGTAAAAGTCCTTGAAACAGAGAGCATATTAGTTGATTGTATTTTATCAGTTTTTATGGTTTAGTTAAAAATAACTTTCATACATCAGCATCCCAAGGAGGTATAAATGAAGCAAAATGTGGATCTTATAATTGTAATAGTCATTGACATATTGCCGCCGGGGAAAATGAATAAAAAATGAGGAAAATGCTGTACGCATTTTTTATATTTTTGTGAAATAACTCCGTACATAGATGGCTCTGCTAGTCCTGATATCACCTTTCCTTGAATTGTTGGGAAAAAACGTATTCTTACTAGTGCTATAAATATAGATGTTATTTTTAACAGCAAATTAGGATAACGTTAAATGTTTTCGTAAATCGATGAAAAGAGTGAACGGGCGAGACAAGCAGTACTCGTAATTGGCTCATTGGTGACTTAGTACAAGTGTAGCCATCTATGTGTAAAAACAATCAAACAAGTCAACTCACAGTGGGCATGGCATGTACGTACATGCCATCCCCGTCGGCAATGGGCTAACAGGAGCCTACTCTTATATATTTCTTCCCAGATGAAGAAAAGGTTTATCTTGCTTTTAAAAGTTTTAATGAAATTACTTTTATATTCACACAATTTTTTTTTCTTTTGGTTGTTATATATATTTTAGAAGTCTTCATCCTCCAGAGTTGATTAGTTTTCCTCTTCTTGGTACATCAGAGCTTGCGTGATTGATTAGTTTTCTGGAACTCATGAGGTTTAAACTCCAAACCCAAACTCTTGAGGGAAATCAGGAATTGTTTGATTTTTTCTTGATATATCTTTTGATAGCGTATGTGCTTTAAATTACTTGGTCATGCAATAGTTTCTGGGATTTTCACTTAGATACAAAGATTAAGGGTATGACAGCAGTGTGTTCAAACTTGTACAGTTTAGTGAACAAGAATTAGTGAGAATCTGAATTAATTATTGGGTAACTTATTAATTATTGGGTAACAAGCCAGTACATTACCAATCATAGTTTGGAATATATGAATGTTTTTATTTATTTATTTATTTATTTTATTTTACTTCTATTGACATGAACGCTATAGACTGAATCATAACATACCGTTATCAGATAATACTTTTAAGTCTGGATCACTGGACCACATTTGTTCAGAATATATATCAGTGCCAAATATCATCTCTCGGCCTGCGCACATTCATTTCACAGTAACACGCCTCGTCAGTCTCCGTCAGCACAGGTGAAAGGAAACAAATTTGCTGGGCCTGGAGGCATCCTCAGAGGCACCATCAAGGATGCTAATGTTCTTGGTGATGTGACTATTATCCTGCTAATTGTCAAGATGATATTCCGATATTCTTGCTCAGGTCAGGGAGTTTTAGGTTGTTGTGTCAGGTGTTTTGTGGAGTGTGTTGATGGTTGCGTTAGATTGGGTGAGTAGTTGGCTATAATTTTGTGTTTTAGTTTGTGATGATGGAAGGGTGAAAATGAAAGATCTTAGTTGGTGAAATAAGGTTGAAGAGACGATTTTTTTTTCTTGAGAATAAACAACAGCCCTGTTATTGTCTCCTTTTGCATCATTTTGTTATTTTGTATACATCGCAGTTGGAATAGGTTATAAAGAACCAGTGTCTTTGGTTTCGTGTTATTTTGGAGACATTTTCCTTTGTATCTAGTGCATGGCTGCCGCAAGGAACACATGATGGATCATAGTTATTTAAGCAGAGCATCATAATGTTTCCTTGAGGGGGTTTGGATCTCGTAAATGTTGCTGCCAGAAACATGGAGCTTCATTATCTTCCCGGGAACTGCCATTAGTTACGTGTGACAGGGCAACAAAGGCGCCATGATGCATGTACAGGGTCTGTTGAGAGAATAGTTTAGTTGCAACATTGCCACCATCGTTAAGCATCCCTCGTAACCTGTTTGTTGGAAAATGCTCCGAATTGCGCGGTCTTTGGGGGGGGAGTTCGAAATCTGAAACGCCTGGAAAATCGGAGAACAAAAAAGCAGAAAATGTAGTGTGCTCGCATGTCGCAGCTTTTTACGTACCTTGAAGAAACGCCGCGTGAGTCATTGGCTTGATAGCTGCTTGCTGAGTAAGATCAGAAATACGGATTCGAGTGTTTCAGTAAGCGATCGGTCTTTCCGTTTTGGACTTTAGCCACGGGTGCGGTAGAGGCGAGAGTTGCGCGCCAGAGTACCGGGAAAGGATTGCCGTGAGAGCGAGGAACCCGAGCCCTTAAACTCCTCCTCCTTTAAACCACAGAGAAATGGCGGCTTAACTTATCCTGATTTTCTTTGACCACAGTGTCTGGAGGGCGTGTCGCTCGCAACGGAGGTCGTGACTTTTATATTTTACGAAGTAGGGATTTGCCACGGACTAGGTTTCGGAATTGAAATGAGTAAAGGGAAAATAATTAATGTATTGTTGTTCAGCTTTGGATAAAGATGGCGAATATGCTGATTGGCAAACTACTTTTTTAGAAATTTATTTGAATCCATTTGGTTTATAAGATATGGCACATTGAGATTGATAAGTTACAAAATGCAAAGTAAATGCGAGTTACCTAGGATTTTGGATTTGCAAATAGTTATGTTTTTGGTGGGCACAGGGCACAAAGAAGAGCTTATATACACATTTATGTGTATATAATGTATCTTAGTCGGATATATAATAGGTATATAGGGTGTAAATACTGAATCAGACATCTTTAGAAAATTACTTTCGAAACGTCCGTAAAAAAAATCAACCGATGGTTACGCACACCAGAAGGGAAAGGAAGGGACAGTTGATGGGCATTATCTATAGCATGTGTTCGGGTTTGGCTTTGGAATTCGGACATGCGGAAGATAAGAGGAAGACGGTCGGATAACCGGGTTAAGGCGGCGGAAAATGGCTGGAGACGGAACACGATGGAAGGGATCGTGTCTTGGTGTTACGGGTAGTGTATCTACTGTATTTGGTGTACCGGTGGGTAGTTGGTGTTCGTGCTGTGTACCGTTCGACAGTGTATCTATCAGCTGTTCAAGTGGTATAGGCTGTTAGAATGCGTCTTTCGTTTTCCGTTGAGGTAAACTAGTATCGCATTTTCTTCATTAATTGCCGTATTGCGTCGTAGTTTACCTCCAGCTCGAGTGTGGAGTTTTTCCTCGTTCTTGCCGTCGGCGGCCACCGGGAAGCTGCTCTGTGTAATTAGCGCAGACGTTAACATATGTGTGTCACGAGGGCCGGTGGGGCGGTTTTGCCGAAGGGAGGGCGGGAGAAAGGAATGGGGAGGGGAGGGGAGATAGGAAGGGATGGAGGGAAGAAGGGAAAAGGAGGGAGGAAGGGAGGGAAAGTGGGGGGGGGAGGAAAGAGGGGAAGGGAAGAGGGGAAGGGAAGAGGGAAAGGGAGGGAGGAAAGGAAGGGATGGTGATTGCGAGAGAGCATAG